CAGATTAATTAAACCAATAGCTTTGAAAATCTTCTATAAAAACAGTTTGGCTTGAACTTTTTTAACATACATTGAATATATCATCTTTAAAAAATAAATAAATATATATATATATATATATATTTTCATTTTAATTTTCAAATATTAATTTTTTTATGAAATTAATTTTAATTAAAAAAATTAAAGTGATATATATATATATATATATATATATATATATATCCAACTATTAAATTATTCAAGATATTAATATAAATTTAAAATATCAATTCAAGTAATTAAAATAATTTTAATTTTTTATAAATACATTGAAATACATTCTTATTAACATACAAGTAATATATATATATATATATATATATATATATATAAGAGACTAAATTAATAATTAATTTAATTATTGATTTAGTGACCGATCTGACTGAATCGATCGAATCGGTGACCAATCGTGACCGAATCGGTGACCGAATCGATGATCGAATCGGTGACCGAATCGTGACCGAATCGGTGATCGAATCGATGACCGATTCGGTGACCGAATCGATGACCGAATTGGTGACCGATTCTGTGATCGAATCAATGACCGATTCTGTGACTAATTTAATAATCAATTTTAATTTTTTTATTCACATGCTAAATTAAAAAATAAAATCAAATAATTATATTACTAAATTATTTAATAAGTTAGTAAACAATTTTTTTAAAATATTTATAATTTTATTAAAAATGTTATCAATTATTTTAAATCATTAAGTAAATTTATATTTAAAATATTTTAAATAAAATATTTATATAAATGAAAAATAGTTATCGGTTTAAAAATTATTTTTTTAGTGATCTGAAATTTTAGTCACTAAATCGATTACTAAATAATAAAGTGATCTGAAATAGTAACCGATTTTTTGTGACCGAAAATTCGGTTACTATTTCGATTACTAGACTAAAAAATAATAATTTGGTTACTAGACTAAAAAATAATAATTTGGTTACTGATTCGGTCACCGATAGTAACTAAATTTTTCGGTCACTGATTTCGGTTACTATTTGACATTTTTCTAGTAGTGGTAACGGTGGTATATGAAATATGGTCTCAAAGGAATAAATGTATATTCAAAAACAAAAATTTTAATGTGGAAGTATGATTTAGTAAAGTGAGTGTCAAATTCATTGATTGGTGTGCTAGAGACCGGAGATGAGCGAGTTTAACAAATTCTGATTGGTTTTATGAAACGGTAAGATGCCTGAGGTTAATAGCCCTATAACTTCTTTTCTCTCTGTACTGGCTAGTATATGTTTTAACAGGTAATTGAAGATAGCCTAATACAAAGATGGGATCCCGTACTAGGAGATGGATGGAGAAGCATTCAAGGTTTACTCAGTAGAACGTTGTTGTTGCGAGGGCTGAATGGATGGCAGCTGGAGAAGATAGAGCTCAAAAGGGACTTTAACTCCGGGTTTACATATTGGCATGATCTGTTGTACTGGAAAGTGATAGGAAACCACTTGTTACAAACTCCAACAACAAATGCAAGAGTCCGGTAAGGGGCTTAGGCAAACCGTAACCAAAATTACAAGATGACTGTTGAGGGAAGTGGGATACTGTTTCATATGAAATACAAGAGGATACACAAGACCTTTTCAAACCATTGATAATTGTATGTGTTGGTGCTACTTATATTATATGGATGTTAAACTTAAAATTGTGTTGAGGGCAACCCTCCACCAGCAAGGTGGGCCGGTTCCCGCTCCATCAGAAAATAAAAAATGAAAGTGATGAAACTTGTTGGGATTCCAGAGTATGTCCAAAAGATATGGAAGTTTAGTGGAATTGGGTAGAGATTTAAAATGTCTATATACCTTGCTGTAATCTTTTTTTTTTTTTTTTCAATGTTAGGTTTTTATCTAAATCTAGTTTTCGCCAAGCTCAAATATTTGAAATTGTTACTTAGGCGTATAAGACTCGCCAAATTTTATGTTTTACCAAGTTATTTTGTTTTCTTTAGGTTATATTTGGGTTGAAGTACCCTTTTGTATTTTTATTAATTTTATTATTTGTATTTTTATTAATTTTATTATTTGTTGTCGATAAAAAAAAAATTATAAGTTTTGTGCAGCTATAGGTCAATAATGCAACAAGATGGAGTTTCAAATACATTGCCGGCAATTTAGAAACACTTTGCTCGAAAGGTTATATAACAGTGATTGGAAAGCATGGACACAGTGGTTTGCACAATACATAATTTGGATTACTGTTAACTTTTTATGCAACTTTTCTTCTGAAATTGCATTAGGCTTCATTATCTGAAACTTGGGCTCGGTTAACATGATATATGCCTTTAATAATTAATGTATATTTCTTAATAAAAAAATAGTATAATGTCTCTTAATAATTATAAAGTAATAACACATATAAATAAGATCAATACGATGAAAATATAATTATTTTTATAATTAGTTTATTATATAATTAAATTTTTATTTTATATTTACTATATATAGTTGATTGGCTCAAACTCATCAGGTTTGAGATTGATAAACCCGTTACCGTTACCCATTTTAATGTATTAAATAAAGTCTAATTCTATTAAATAAAAAATATTATAATTGCATTGGGTTAGGATGAATTGGTATGTGAATTTGGTGGAACGTAATTACATTTTTATTATAACCATGTTTGTCTTTATTTAAAAAAAAATCTTATTAATAAGAAAACATGCACGTTCTAATGTAAATTTATTATTAAAATAAATTGACATCTGTATTTTTAAATTCACATTATGTCATCCTTTAAAACAAACAGTCCTAACCCAATTCAATTATGTTTTTTTTTTTTTTGACAATTAAACTATTTGTCGCTCTCCAACGTTGTAGAAAGAGATGACAGACAAGGCAAAGAATAAAAAAATGTGGAAAAAATGTTTTTGTTTTGAAAGTAGTTATCATATATAATACCAAAATTTTTAACTCCTACACACAATATTTAAATGGTCTAATTGAATCATTATTAGTGATTCATATGCTAATTAGTAGCAAGTAATAATCACATGTGATCTTAAACATCCACGCTGTGCATCTTAATTATTAACAGTAACTATGTAATCTGCAACATTTGTTTAATTGTTTTTGGAAATGGAATAATAGCTACTGTTTTTAGTTTTTTTCTTCCACAATAATTGTTAATGAAAGGTAGATGCATGAATACATGGTGCTTGCTAATCTTTTATTTATATAATTTAAATTTTAAATAAATATATTTTATTTTTGTTCGGAAAATAATTAATTTTTATATTTTTAAAAGAGATTAAAAAATACCTCATATGTGTGTGTTAAAATTTGAACATAATTAATTTAATTTGAATTAATTTCTACCTCATATACACTGAACCACTCTCACATAATTGCAAAAGACTTTATTCCTATCCAGGAACATGTTGAATGGATTGCGGATAATGTTTTTGTATCAATAATTTGAAATCAACTCCTGAAACAGTAAGGTCCGCTACTAAAACCTAACTTCCAATGCACACATCAAATTAACGTTATCTACACATATCAATTAGTTATGGAAGAAGAAAATTTACATACCAATGTAACTAAAAAAAAATAATTAAAGCCCTAAACAAACTATTTATTTTAAATCAATGTATATTTATTTAACATTTTAAATAAAAAAGAAATATACATGAGACCGTTTTAACCTGTTTCGTTCTAATCAAGCACAATAAATTCCTTTTATTAACACCACCTTTATCATCATAAGTCTCAAACAATTAATTTGATGGAAAAGAAAATGTTTAATTTTTAGGAAGTTGAAGTTAACATTATAATGAAATTTTAAGTTTTTTTCTTCAATTATATTATGTAATGTTTTCAAATTTTATAAGGATATATGAACAATAATATAATGTTTTTAAAACAATACAAAAGTTTATATATGTAGAATTTCAAAAAGACTGGAATGAAAAGGTGTTAGTATAAATTTTTCTTAGATTTATGTTTTGAAATATAACGTTTGCAAAATATAATGTTTGTCTCTATTTGTTTTTCTTGGATGTTTCCCACAGAATCGTTCTTAGGGGAGTTAGAATCTAACTAATTCATTTAAAATAATGTTTTGCTAAAATAAAATATCCATATTATTTCTATTAAATCATTTTACATTTAAATTTAAATATACAAATACACTAAAATCACGTATTTTTTAAAATTGAAAAATTAAATGGATCAATTTGCAAATATAAAGACAGATAAATTTGTGTGAAAAAGTAAAAAAAAAAATCATAATTTTCTGTTATAATTATTGTAAAACTCACTGATTTAACAAGATGAGTTATGAATGAATGATACACAAGGAACAAGGAACAGTAATGTTTTTTTTCCTCCATTTTTAAAACCAAGAAAAAAATTAACCAATTAACAAACATTAGACTAATTGACAACTAGTATTTTTTGATTGTTTCACTTGAGATACTAAATCAAGAAGTAAATCTTAAAGAAAGAGACACACCAGAGATTAACTGACATTGGATCTGGCTCTATTAATGAAATTGTGGCCACCATGCATCGACCACTTCAATAAACACACAGAAAGAGACAATGGAGGAAAAATCCAAACGGCATAGCCAAATTTAACAACATAATTCTATTACTACTACTAACTTGGTGTTGTCCTATATCTCTATCTCTCTCTCTCTCTCTCTCTCTCTCTATATATATATATATATATATATATATAACCATACATTAAATTGAAGTAAACAGAAGCTACCAAAAACTACGTAAACATCATATATAATGTAGTAAGATATACAAGCCTCGAAATCTAAAGTAAACAATTCTTTTAAAGAGTGAGAAAAAAGTAAATTCAACTTTTGATGACAATGCTAATAGTCAATATTATTCATGATAACTCATAAACATTAACTGTTAATTCTTCTTATCAGCGTACAATTACTTATTTTACATTTTCTCACTTTAGAATAGTAAAAATAAAGGAAAATTCAAGGCATGTTCAACTTGTTACCACACTTGCACCTCCATGCTTCTGGGTAGTACTCTGCGGTCACCGGAGTACCCGGCGGCACCGTCACGTGCACCGGTATGCAGGGTGTACACTTGCCACACTTGAAGGTGCATAGGGGTGGAGATGACCCTGGTCCACCTAGAAACCTCCTCGCCCAATCTAGGGAAGCTTCTGTTTTGCCTTCAAACACCATGCCATGTCCAGTTCTCCCCTCATATTTCTGGTAAAAAAAAAATAGTTACTCAATGGTTAGTGTTGAATTAGTAAAATTGAAACAAATAAAGCACCCAAGCACCATGGGCCATACAAACAGATAAAATGGGTGAAACATATGTTTCTCTAATCTCTATGGTGGATGTGGCAAGTGGGACCATAAAGGATGCATGATCCTTATTAGCATGGATGAATACTGAATAGTCAGCGATCAATTCAGTGTACTGTGGACCCAATAAGGAAGCACATGGTCCACTGAACCCTTGTTTACTCAATCAATCACAGTTGACTCTTGTATCAGATGACTCACATTTTGCAAAGGTTCCTGCGCCCTGCAACTTTTTTTTGGTGCATTAATTACATCTTCTGTGTTTGGAGGGTAAAATGTTGGAGATTTTAAAAATTGCTTTTTAAGTCTTCAATTCAAGAATGAGTTATACTATTCTAGCTTAATAACCAGGTAAGCAAACTCTAATGTGGTAATTCATAGTTAGATGCACATTAAGTAATTGGAGTTAAGATAATAAGGTCCCAGAAAAAGAGTAACAAAGAACATAAATTTTTTATCAAAGTAAAAGTACAGATATGGGTTAACGTTAATGCTAGGTGGAAAAAAATATGATCATTTCTACCTGATGATCTGCATGAGGTTTGGCCAACATGGAACACATGCTTGCATCTGCATTGGAGAAGGGATGAAAGTTGCAGTGAATTTATGATTTTGAATCAGTTTCATCATTTGAGCAAAACTACGGGAGTAAAGAAAGTGATGGAAAAGTAGAAAGGTTGTTTTGGTGTTGCATACCTAAACATGCAATGGTAGTGCCATATGTTGTGCTGCTGAAGATCAGTGATAGCATGAAGAAAAAGAAGTAAACTGTGGTATAAAAATTGGTTTTGTTTATGAATTTGTTGGCTCTTGACATCTTCCTCTCCATTACAAGAAGAAGAAAGACCCTTCAGAAAGCCTCTAGATCAACAACACTTCTGTGGAGGTTGCCAAAAATATGCCTGACACTCTCTCTCTGACCTTTAAAGAACCTCTCTCTCTCTCTCTCTCTCTCAAGCTACAGGCCAGTTGTAGGGTTTACAACACCATGGACTTGTACGTACCATGCAAATGTGAAGCTAAACAAACACCTAAATGCATAACACTTGAACCCATTTGTCTGGTTTGTCTAGAACTTAAAAAACATATGCATGTCATGAATTCTAAGAATATGCCATGATGTAATTAAAGACAAAACAAAATTTGTACACACACATAAAAATTATAATAAATATAATTTTTAAATATTTATTGTAAAAGTCGTACAAAGTTATTCTTCATCAAATGAACTAAATTATACACGTGTAAAGAATTTTACAATCTGATAAATTTAAAGAAAAATTACATGTACATATTTATGGACTTAATTATATCTTTAGCTAAAGTTAAAACATTAGAAGTAAAATATGTGACATTCGCCAAGAATATTTCAAATATATGGACACTACTGAATTAGGATGATACAGGTACACCAGTGTCTTGAAGTGTAGAAACCAGCGTACGTTTTCCTTCTCTCACTTCACACATACTTTGTTATTGTGATTGTGATAAAGACACATGGTATTAAAAAGAGAGAGAGAGAGAGAGAGAGAGAGGAGAAATAATAGTGAAAGATGGAAAAGTGGATGGATCGAATGTGACAAGGATTATGCAATGAGGTGGTGTGGGTCGTGGCAGAGGTGCTTGCGTTACACAGGACATGATAGATTAAAAACAAAGTAGTATAATAAACAAATGTCTATCTATGCCAATCGTAGCTTCATAGGCTATATATACCATGTTTGGCAAACAACACTTTCTTGGATTTTTTTCAATGCACAAAATATTAATTAGAATGCTAATCCACACAGTGTAAAACATGGACATATTTCTCATCAGAACTTTCTTTTTATAGAGTCAAAATTATAGAAACCAGAGACTCAAATATTAACAAAAATTAACATTGAGACAAAGACTTATGTTAACGAAATGATACCTGTTATTTGGATATGGAATAAGCATTTGCATTGTTTATGTTGAAGTTTCCAGAACAGAATTAGTCATTGTTTTCAACAATGAATAAATTCTATTAATACAATTCAAAAGTATTTACCAATTAAGATATATATAACAAGATTATCTTGCATGTTGTTTTTTTGTTCCTCCCAAGGATTTTTTCCAACCCAGAGAAAGTAAGAACCATTCCATTCCCTGCTGCTTTCTGCTCTCACTGCAGCAATCCTTTTTCCCATTTCCCACATTTACTTTTTTTTTTTTCCTTTGCTTGTCCCCTTATCAATATGCTTCCTGTTCTCGTGCCACACTTATTCAAAAACTGTTTAACAACTCCAATTTAAAAAAAAAAATTGAAAATTAGTTAGTTATAATGACATACTTTTTGGCTAAGAAAATTGTACTTTTTTAATATAATTGAACCATAAAATTAACAGTATGGCAAAAAAAATAAAATAAAAAATACATATTTAAAATTGAAAATTTAATTAAAATCATAGTTTTTTTTTTAATTTTGAAAGCTAAAATAGAAAAAAATAATAACAAAGATAAAAACATGGATCATAAATTAAAAAGGACAAAAATTATAATTGAACTCATTTTTATTTTAAAAGTAAAGCAACTGTTGAACATAATATTCACTGTTCAGCAGAAAATGATATTATGTCTGTAAGTGAAAGACTTAGATGATATGCATAAGGAAATTCTTATTTGAATTACTGTGATTTTAAGTAACTTTATATAATTTGAGAATTTGGGCAAACAAGGTATCCACAGCTTAAGGACAAGCTTTACAAGTAGCAGTGAATTACCATAGCCTAATATAGAGACCAATGAAATATGAGAAGTGCATATCTTTGTTCTCATGTGAAACAAATTGTTTGGTCCTAACTATCTTTTCCCTTACCATTTACAACCCAACCTTTCTGATATCACATGCACTGTTTCTTAACTTTCATTTGGTAGTAATTTGAAAGCTATAACTCTTTGAAATGAGGTCCTCTGTTTTTCACTTTTTGCTAACAATTAGCATAACATTTCAAGAGCTACAAACTTAGTCAACTCTATCTACTTATGTTATGCTATGCAAAAGCTGCAATATATCCAATGGCTAAGCCCTAAACCACGTATGCAAATATGAAAATCTAATATAACTCTTTAGCATGTATAGTTTTTCTGTATCATAGCTTACTCAAGATATTAAAGTTACGCTAAAGTTGAAATTGGATCTATGAATGAGTACGTTAATAACAAGACGAGTTATATAATTTTAACACAACTTTTACTGTACAACACTTTTTCTTTTACTCTCCAGCAAATTATTTACCTTACACTTCTCTCTCTTCTCTTGGTAAAAAGTATTGAAAGTGCTTTAGGGTCATATGAAGCCTAGCTAGTTCTATGATACTGACAAAGCTAATACAAAGCATTTTATTTCTTGTCAGTTGACAGTGGACCAAAGGCTCCCCTAGTTTAAATTAGGTCCGTGAAATTGACTACGGAGACAAACAAGCAGAGGAGGTAAATCTAGAACATGACCCGCATGTAATGGTCTTGAATGGACAAGTAGAACACTTTTAGCACTACACAGGCACAATAATACATACTGCAGGCTTTATATATGTAAGTTGTTTTGTTCTTGTGTGTGCATGATCAAATTTGGTGAGAGCTTGAGCAGGTGATAAAGGTTGACAGATGATGGAATCACGGATTTGGTGAAAAGGAAGCTCAATGCCTTAGAGTGTTAGGTTGTTCACACCCTCTTGTTTTCATGCATGGTTCTTCAATGCCTGTCATAATATGCAAGATATGATGTCTCCAGCAGCTTCCTTCGAATCACATACTTTGCATGCAAATGCAAGCTTAGGACTGATCCTTCCTTGCCCCACCACACGTTGGAGGAAATTTGATGGTGACATGTGCAGGCAATTGTGTCCTAATAAAGTTCTCATTCTCTCAATTATTCAGCTTGGAATAAATGCTAGCTGACACTTTTTATTCTTTGTTTGTTTTTTCCCTTACCCTTTTCCTTAACTCATCTGAATTTCATAGATGGATATATCTTTACCTGACCTCTTTCTCTATCGTGAGCTATGATTTTTCACATTGGAGGAAAAGTATAATCCGCAAGATAGCAAGATAGTGATGGATTGTTGTGCTCTATAGGTAAGTTCACATGTAATATATATTATTAATCTTTTGTCACTAAACAATCGCTGAATTGAAACTTCCCTAACAAAATGAAGTGACACTTACTTCTGTTAACTGAATCATGTCAAAATAAAATTTGAATTAATGTATCTGTTCACTAAAATTACATTAAAATACAAATGGCCGAAAAAAGATAGGTTGGACACTGCTGGTTGAAATGCAATACTAACTAGTTATGCAAAGAAGGGTTGGTTCAGTGATGCTGAGGAGTGTTTGAGCAGATGGCAGTAAAGGATTTGATTTCTTATAACTCAGTGTTTGAGCAGATGCAATTTTTTGAATGGCAAAGAAGAATGTGGTTTCATGGAATTTTTTACTTTAAAAGTGGTGTGACCTGAGTTCTGCTTGGCCATTGTTTGAAAGGATTTTAAGTCCTAAGGATAGATGATGAGGCTACTCACATTTTCAATCTTGCAAGAATAGAAGGTGACCCTAGAAATGTTTTGGGCTTTAACTATTTATACTTTCTTAACTCACTAAATTCACTCATTTTTCTTTATTTTTTTTCAAATATGAAATTACCCTATTAATCTTAATTTGCCTTTCTTGTTCATATAGTTATTATATTCACATATTCCCTTTTATCTCATTTTCATTCCCCATCAGTTCCAACCAATCAATGCACCCAATGAACTTTTTTTTTTTTTGAAAAATATACAAAACCTCATCATTGGGAAAATTTGTAAAAATACTGAACAATTTCGCAAAGTACTTTCTGGAACTATCTCAAAATTTACTTTTCGAAACTCTATTAAAATATATCTTTTGGATCTCTCTTGGTAATTATACCTTTAATTTTGTACATACAAAATCAATTTTGAGCCCAAAATAAGGTAAAATTTACATACCCTAAAAATATAGAAAAGTAATAGAAATGATTGAGGGTACAACCAAAGTGGATTGTGAAGAATAGAGTTTAGGGTTTGTATTTTTTTACATAAAAGGGAATATTTGGTAATAAAAGTTTAAATACAGGAAAACTAGCATATATAGAATTTTAGGGGAGTGTAAATAGTAAAAACTTTAGTTTGTCACATATCATGTGCGTTTTAAGCCTATGAAAAGACTCTTGCTTTCTGTATCTCATAATTTTTTCTTGTATTTCTATATTCTAAGTCAAATATCTAAACCAACTTTTTCATAATTTTGTTTTTTACTCTAACTTCTTTTTTTATTTGTGTATAACTTCAACACATTCATCCTTTGGTTATTTGATTTTTTTTGTTATCATCTCCATTGAAGGTATTCTCTAATAATTAAAGGTAAGTAATTCTTAATATTATATATGAATTACATGTTCTTGTACTCAAATTGTATAAACAGATCCAAATTATTCAATCTAAAACAGTATCACAAAAATGAAATTAAATTCTAGGAGAGATAATCTAGAAATGCATTCTGGACGTTGTAGAATGTGTTTATGGAGTGGGTGTTCCATAAAGCATTGTTGGGAAAGTCTTTTGAGATTGGATATTCCAGAAATGTATTTCTGATTGGTTTTCTAGAATGTGTTTCCAGAAAAAATCTTTTAGAAGACGCATTTTAGATTAGGTTTTTCAGAATATGTTTTTAAAAAAGTGTAAAAATACATTCTATAAATAAAATGAAGATAAGTGTAAAAATAAAATATAATTTAATTTAATCAAGGAGACGCGGGAAGAACGTGTGGGTGTGCAGCAAGTAACAGCCAAATGAAAAATGCCCCTGCAACCTTGCATAGAGGCCCATAATATACTTTTGTCAATAAATTAAACTAAATAATAAAGAGGCTCCTTAAAAAAAAAATAAAAAAATCTGTAGTAGTAGAGAATCACCCAATTTTGAAATACTGGAGATTCCGCTGTTCAGCTCTTCTTTCCAAAAACAGGAACAAAGTAATAACAACATTTAATAATTATTGTCTCATTTCACAATGTTACAACAAGACTCTCACGATTTCACAAGTTTCTGTAATCAAAATAGAGAAACACATTCACAAGTTCCAGCCTTCCAAATGTCAGAACTCAGTATATAGTGCCAATCAATTTGAACTACCAATGCATCCCACATTGCACTTTCATCTGCCGGTGAGATTTTGTTTATACATTGTTGCCTTCTTCTGAACCTTACATTTTTTATTCCCAAATGCTTTTATATTCTTTAATTTGAATCTAACAACGTGTCTTTCTAGGACATGAACCGTGACAGTTAATTTAGCAAGTGACTATAGTCACTATTAGAGAAACAAAATCTAGAATTTGCTGTTTTTTTGTGTTTAATAACCCAATTTCCTCAAATGTCTTTCATTTGCCTTCTTTTGTTAAGATTTTGTCATTTTGTGAATGTCTCAGTGTTTGTTGAATTAAGGATCAACGTAAGAAGATTGATCATATACATGTATAGAAAGGTTTGATGTTTGCTAAGGATGGAATGTCCAAATACCATGAAATTCAATTCAAATATGTCAGAAATTGTTTGCAAGTTGGCCAAGTTCTATGCATTGAAATCCATTGGGGTGTTACCTCTGAAGTCCCCAATCTCCATCACTTTCACAAGCCAATTTGCATTGGTGCTTCTCCGAGTGAAAACAGAAATGTTGCAAATGAGGAGACCAAAAACTATAGCCAGTGAATCCATTCCCAACGCATTGAAATGCTTGTTGGAGAGGATTCATGCCCTGGTGTGGAGATCATGAGAATATTTGACACTGTTTCAGCTCTGAAATGGGCTTATCTTCACTTCAGCAAGCTCATTTCCCTTATGATCCACAAAAGCTGCACGAGAAAATCAAGAGGATAAATTAGAAGAGAGAAGCAAGTGTTTTGAATGTTGTAAACTTCAAGAATTTCTTCAAGGTTGCTTCAGAGTCCATTCATGATTTTGCCAAACCAATAATTAGTTTGATGAAAGCTTCGGGTTGGGACGTAGATGTCGCAACAAAATGGGCTGAGAATGCAGCTGTATATTCTAAAGGGTGTGACAAAAAACATGCTTTTAAGGCCTACATTGCGCGGAGAATGTTTCGAGGGGTTCCATTAACTTCTTATGATGTGAGTGATATTATGAAGTTTGATGATCCAATTGATGTACTGATGGAGAATCCAAACTCAGATTTTTCAAAATTTTGTGGAGCAAAGTATCTTATGGTTTTTCATCCCACAATGGAAGAGTCATTCTTTGGAAATTTGGATCACCGAGCCTTGATATTGAGCGGCAAGCACCCTAGAACTGAGTTCTATCAGTTGTTTGCAAAAGTGGCAAAATGGGTTTGGGTTTTATTAGGTTCTTCAGCGACAATAGATCCCCATGCAACCATGTTTTCTGTCAACAACAGAGATCCCAACTTCTCTGGTTTGTAAATGGAATCTGTTGAGGAGAAAGAGAGAATACTGTTCTGTCAGATTGTTGGGATGTGGGCTCCCAACTATGTATTTTTCTTCACAAATAGCCCACAACATTTGCCCATAGGGTGGCCAGTCATAAAAATACAAAAAGGAAGTGTCAAGAGGTGTCTGGGCAGAGAGCCCAGAGACAGAGAGAAAAGAAGAGAGCAGAGAGTTTCGTCTCCATAGAACCTCTGAATTTCCAGTCTAGATCTCAGTTAATTCCACCGTTGAATTCACATAAAATTTGGAGGGTGTATTTACGACATCATCGTCTCAGTTCTCACCGTTCAATTTTTCATTTCATCTTCTATGGATGGAGAAATCGAGCTTGCTAGAATCCCAAGAAGTTTCGGTAAAACCACGATCACCGATTCGTGAACTGTTGGATCGGTCTAAATTTTTGGTATCGATTTCCTGAGATGTGGTTCTAGGTTTTGACCGTTCGAATTTTGATTCAGAGATTTATACTGGGAGAAATTGTGCTAGAACAGTAGCACGAAGTAGAGATTTATACTGGGAGAAATTGTGCTAGAACAGTAGCACGAAGTTGTGAGTTTTTCAGCTTCTTATTCTCTTGTTGATTTATTGTATTAGCTGGATAGTTACACAAATTTGTGCAAATCATTGAGACACTGTTGTATCCTACCTTTGATCATAGTAGAGCTTCATTACTGGCTTATGTCCGTGGATTTTTACTTCTCGAATTAAGAGGGTTTTCTCACGTAAATAATTGTTGTGTCTCTTGCGGTGATTATTATTTTGCTAGGGTCATTTGCTATTATCTTTGCTCCTCACAGATTCTCACAAGTTTGGGAAAATTATATCTGCTGCGTAGTCTGAAAATTTAGTTGTATTGCTGTTTTTCTCATCAATACTCCCCCTCACAATTATGTGGAAGTGATCGCCAATCCGACGAATCTCACAGCAATACTTAAACTTTTATCTTGGTAGTGCCTTAGTCATCATATCAATACTATTATCATGTGTATGAATCTTAGCTAACTACAACATCTTAGCATCTAAAACATCACGTATCCAATTATACATCACATCAATATGTTTGGATCTAGAATGGAAGGTTGGATTCTTACCAAGATGTATGACACTTTGACTGTCAACAAACAATGGGTCCTACACAAAACCAAGTTCCTGCAAGAATTTCTTTAACTACAACAACTCTTTGCATGCTTCAGTAATGACAATGAACTCCGCCTCTGTGGTAGACAATGCTACACACCTTTGCAGTCTTGATTGTCATGCTACATCTCCCCTTGCAAACTTAACCAAGCAATCCTAAGTAGATTTTCTGGAATTAATGTCTTCAGCCATATCAGAATTTGAGTAGCCCACCATATTAGGCTTATCACCTCCAAAACAAAGTTTCATATCACTGGTACCACGAAGATACCTCAAAATCCATTTCACAGCATTCTAATGCTCTCTACCTAGGTTTGACAAAAATCTACTGACTGTACCAACAACATGTGCAATATTAGGTCTTGTACATACCATTGCATATATCAAACTGCCCATTGCAGATGCATAAGGAACTCTGCTCATATATGCCTTCTCAGCTTCATTTGAAGGACTTTGTTTAACACTTATTTTAAAATGAGTAGCAAGAGGAGTACTCACGGCTTTCGCATTTTCAATCTTGAATCTCTGCAACACCCTTTTAATATAGTGTTCCTGTGACAGCCAAAGCTTCTTTTCTTTTCTCTCTTGAGTGATTCTTACTCCAAGAATCTGTTTAGCAGCTCCTAAGTCCTTCATGGCAAATGACTCACCCAATTGCTTCTTCAACCTATTAATTATGGAAACATCTTTTCCAACAATAAGCATGTCATCAACATACAATAACAGGATAATGAAGTCATCATCAGAAAACTTTCTGAAAAAGACACAATGGTCAGAAGTAGTCTTCCTATAGCCTTGATCATGCATAAAAGACTCAAATTTCTTATATCATTGTCTAGGAGCCTGCTTCAAACCATATAAGCTCTTTCTCAGCCTACACACATAGTCTTCCTTGCCTTCAACAAGAAAGCCATAAGGCTGCTTCATGTAAATCTCTTCCTCCAAATTACCATGAAAGAAAGTTGTCTTCACATCCATCTGCTCAACCTCCAAATCAAGAGTAGCAGCTAAACTCAACACAGTTCTAATGGATGACATTTTCATCACAGGTGAGAAAATCTCATTGAAATCAACACCATTTTTCTGCCTGAAGCCTTTCACCACTAATCTGGCCTTGTACTTCGGAGATGTCGAATTAGCATCTTGTTTCACCCTGAAAATCCACCTGTTTTTTAAGGCCCTTTTACCCTTAGGCAATTTTACCAAGTCATAAGTTTGATTATCATGCAGAGATTTCATCTCATCTTGCATTGCATCCAATCATTGTTGTTTATGTTCACTCTCGAAAGCCTCTTCAAAACACTCTGGTTCTCCACCATCAATCAAAGTTATATACTCATAAGGAGGATACCTTGTAGAACGTTGTCTCTGTCTATTAGTCCTCCTGAGTTGGACTTGAGATGGTTCAAGTATATCACCAAGATCATCATCAAATTCCTCTTGAGCATCATCAATTGGAACATCTACTCCAACCTGTTGTTCATCAACATCATCATGTTGCTCATCACCATGTTGCTCATCACCTTGAGCTTCTGTTTCAACATTATCCAGATTATGACCTGGCAACCTCATCGAATTACCATAAGTGAAATTACTATCCTTTCTGGGTGTGGTCTTTTCTACCTTATCAATGTCTTCAATGATTTGGTCTTCCATGAATTGCACATCACGACTTCTAACAAGCTTTTTCTCAACAGGATCATATAACCTGTAGCCCAATTCATCTCACCATAACCAATAAAGATACATTGCCTTGTCTTCGCATCCAACTTGGATCTTTCATCCCTTGGAACATGAACAAATGCCTTACAACCGAAGACACGCAGATGATCATACTTCACATTCTTGCCAAACCAAATTTTGTCTGGCACATCACTGTCAAGAATAACAGTAGGAGTGAGATTAATAACATGCATCGTCATGTACAGTGCCTCACCCCAATAATATTGGGGTAATTTAGCATATGAGAGCATATATATCACTCTCTCAAGTAATGTCCTGTTCATCCTCTCCGCTAAACCATTCAGCTGAGGAGTTTTAAGAAGAGTCTTCTCATGAGCAATACCATGCTGCTTGCAATAAACATCAAAGGGTCCACGATACTCACCACCGTTGTCAGTACGATTGCGTTTCAGCTTCTTGCTTGACTGCCGCTCAACCATACTATGAAATTCTTTGAACTTTACAAGCACTTGGTCCTTCCTTTGCAGTGCATAGACCCATAGCTTCCTGGAACAATCATCAATAAAGGTAACAAAGTAAAATGCACCACTAAATGACTTTACCTTCAACGGGTCACAAACATCAGAATGCACTAATTCAAGCAACTCTGACTTCCTTGAGGAAGGATGCTTCTTGAAGGATACTCTAATTTGTTTACCAGTTATGCAATGAGAACATTTCTCCAATTCTGCAGTCTTTAATCCCTGAAAAACTTCCTTTTTAGCTACGCAATTTAGCCCTTTTTCACTGATATGACTAAGACTTCGGTTCCACAAAGATGCCTCCATATCCATGGCATTCACACTGTCTCTAGCAACCAAAGCTTTTGTCCAATACAGTTTAGCTGATTTTTCTCCTTTAACCACAACCAAGTTACCTTTGGTGAGTTTCCACTTTCCAGAACCAAAGTGGTTTTCATAACCACCATCATCAAACATCTGCATAGAGATTAAGTTAAAACAAACATCAGGAGCATGTTTGACTCCTTTAAGTAACAACTGCATTCCCATGTTGGTTTGCGGGCAAACATCACCAACACCAATCACCTTAGACACACCATCATTACCCATCTTCAACACTCCAAAATCACTAGAATAAGATGTGAAGAACTCCTTCCTTGGTGTAACATGCAGTGTAGCTTCACTATCAACTATCCACATGCTCTCATCTGATACAAGATGAACTGACTCGTGGTCACTGAGAATAACAAGATCACCACAAGTAGCAGTAGCAACACGATCATCATTATGTTCATTCTCCTTTTGCTTACTCTTCTTATCTTTATTCTCCTTTTTTCCACCGAAAAAAGTTCTTCTGTATGTGCCCCATTTTGTGACAATAGTGACACTCTATATTCTTGTATCTGGACTTGGACTTACTCATGCTCTTCTCTTTACTACCCTTTGGTTCCTTTTTCTGACTTCTCCCCCTATTTTCTGTGAAAAGTACTTCAAACTTAGATGAAGAATCGTGTGCCCTCCTTCTCATCTCTTCATTGAGAGCACCACTCTTTGGCATTTGCAAAGAAACAACACCATTAGGGGCTGAGTTCGTAATTGAAACCTGAAATGTCTCCCAAGACTTAAGTAAGGTATTCAGTAGTCATAGTCCCAAAACTCCATCATCAAATTTGATACCCATTCCAGACAATTGATCCAGGAGTCCTTGAAACTCATTCAAGTGATCAGAAATGGAAGAACTCTCCCTTTATCTCAAATTCATCAGACAGTTCAACAAACACAATTTATTGTTCCCTGACTTAGAAGCATACAAGGACTCAATCTTCTCCCACAAACTTCTCGCATGTGTCTCATTGGCAATGTGATTATAAACATTATCTTCTACGAATTGCCGAATAAAACCACACACCTGTTAGTGTTCAAAGTCCCACTCTTCTTCAAACATGGAATCCGACTTTTGTGCAACAAAAACAGGAAGATGCATTTTCTTCACAAATAGCAAGTCTTTCATCTTGCCCTTCCATAAGTGATAATTAGTACCATTCAAAGCAACCATTTTTGTATTTGTCTCCATCATTCAAACAAGTAATATATATATATATATATATATATATATATATATATATATATATATAGCTCCAACCAAGGAGCTCGATACCACTCGTGATGAGAAAAACAACAAGTACAACTAAACTTTCACAGTACGCAGCAGATATAATTTTCCCAAACTTGTGAGAATATGTGAAGAGCAAAGATAATAACAAATGACACTAGCAAAATAATAATCCCCGCAAGAGACACAACAATTATTTACGTGAAAAAACCCTCTCAATTCGAAAAATAAAAACCTATGGACACAAGCCAATAATAAAGCTCCACTATGATCAAAGATAGGATACAACATTGTCTCAATGATTTATACAAATTCGTGCAACTATCCAGCCAATACAATAAATCAAATGAGAATAAAAAACTAAAAAACTCACAACTTCGTGCTGCTGTTCTAGCACGATTTCTCCCATTATAAATATCTGAATCTAAATTCGAACGGTCACAACCTATAACCAAGTCTCAGGAACTCGATGCCAAAAATTTATATCGATCCAACAGTTAACGAATCGGTGATCGTGGTTTTACCGAAACTGCTTGGAATTCCAGCGAATTGGAGCAGAATCACGGTCAGAGCTCAATTTCTCCACCCAAAGAAGACTAAATGAATAGCTGAACGGTGAGAACTGAGATGAGGATGTCTTGAATGCATTCTCCAAATTTTATGTGAATCCAACGGTTGAATTTACTGATATCTGTACTGGAAGTTTGGAGGTTCTATGGAGACGAAACTCTCTTTCTCTCTTCTTTTCTCTCTCTGTCTCTTGGCTCTCTGCCCTGGCACCTTCTGAGGTTCCTTTTTGTGTTTTTATGACTGGCCACTCTATGGTCAAATGTTGTGGGCTATTTGTGAAGAAAAATACATAGTTGGGAGCCCACATCCCAACACAGATGAAGAAAGAGCCACCTATAAAGTTCAGTTCACGGTTATGCCTGGCTTTAAAGCTGCAGAGACATTGGTGAAGTCTAGAGTTTATATCTCAAAAACATGCTTAAAGCCAAATGGTGGTTCCTTTAAGTGGTGATTCTGTTCATGGACTGAAATATTTTGTACATGAGCTTTTTCTTTTGGTAGCTTAGCTAGTCATGATAACAATTACTGCTAGTTTGTGTTGCAACTTAGAACCTAAACCCACCATAATGGTGATTGTAATGTTGTACCTGTTGATTAAATTATAGTCTTGATATATCTATCTACTAATTTTTTTTACTGTCTAGTGTTCAAGTTTCTCTATGAACTGTACATGTATGTTTAGTTAAAACTGTCATGTTTAGTCACATGAATTTTTTTTTTTTGTCTTTTGCTCTGCAGTCAGGACAAAACCCTCAAATTTACTAATATGAAATAAGTGATTTTTGAATGTCTGAAATACATAATTAAGCTGTGGGGACAATGATAATAATCTTTTAGGAAGAATGTCTATTACTAATTAGAATACTTTTTCTAGGGGTTTCTATGATGTACTTATTTTATTGTATGAAGGATCATAATTTATCTAGGCTTAAAATGAGATAATTTAAAAATTTTAACTTTTAAGGGTCAAATAGAAAAGAGTTATTGGAGGGAAATTAAAGGGAACAACCCAAAAAAGTTCCAAAATTTCAGCTACTGAATGCTTGAGACTTCCTTTCTTGTTACTCTAGGAAAGGTTGACAGAATCATTCTTAATAACAATCTTGATTATGATATGTAATGGTGTAAATAAGATAAAATGATCAAAAGGAGAAAAATAACTATTCAAGATTTCAAACAACCCAACGGAGGAATTTAGATTTACAAGGAGATCTATAGAAGTATGAATGCAGTTAGATAAATTATGGTGATAGCCATAAGTTCACATGACCATAAATGTCAAGACTTAGATCAGTTTGGTGTCTTCTTAAAATTTGAGATAAGCAATTCCAATATGAAGTTTCATTTAAAGATAATCCTTGAATTATTCAGCTAGGATGGATGTAAAGAGTCAGTAAATTGTAACTAAAATAAGAAAAACGAGTACATTATCCATTTATTCTCTCCCATTTAAGCCTTATGGAGAATACCATATTCTCAGCCATTAGTTGGAAAGGAGCTACCTTCCTCACTGTCTAAAGAAAACAAGTCCCTGCAGATTTCTGCATAGAATCTACATACTAAATCAATGAAGACAGGGCACTTGAGGTTCTTCCAGCAGTGTAGAAATTCTTCCACATCCATCAAGTCCCTCATCTTCCCTTCTTCCACAATTATCTCCACCAAATAATTCTCAAAAATCCTGCATGTGTCTTCCACTTGGAGACAAGCTTCCCTCTTGTCTACCCCGAATGCTCTTACATAAGCTGGAACAAGTGGTGAACATGATGGAAAGGGGGGAGTTTCATGCACATTCAAGGGACTTCTTAAGTATGGTAGCCTATCTTTGTCTTTAGATTTCTTTTGGGAACGAAATGCTGTTAATAACAATGAAGACATTGTTATAGTTGTGAAGGGCTTTTGAGTTTTCAACTTGTGTGAGCACAGAATCAAAAGAGCTTTTCTAAGTACTGAACTGGTTCAACAACAGTATTTTTTTTGCTTTTTGCACGGCTTGAATAACTTGGATCTGAAGACAGCTTGTGCTTTCAAGTTCATTCCAAAGTAGGAAAGGAGTGTGTCTAAAGAAACTTGAGGATTTTAGTATAGGATAATGTTGAGTCTGACGATGATACGATGCTGGAGGTGTGATCCTTCATTAGAAGCTACCTATGTTGCTCTTCCCTACTTCTTGCAACTCCCATGTAAAAACAAAAAAGGTGTTAGGCTTAAGAGTGTTTGTTGAAACTTGAAACCAAGGTTGTTGTAACTCAGTCCTTTTGAAGTTTTTTAAGTAGGTTCCTTATATTGTGAAACTTTGTAACTAAATCCTCAAAATTAAAGGTTTTGTTTTTTCCCTCTGAAGTTACATAACTCTGTTAAATACAAACGACCTAATTGAATATTCCCAAAAAATTCAAAGACCTATACTAAATAATTCAACAAATAATATGGTCCTAATTTATTTAATTTTTTATTGACTCTCTGTACTTAACAAAAAACCAATGAAACTTTAATTACAAGGGCATAATTAAAGTCAATTTATAAATTTAGGGACACAGTTACAATTTTTTCAAGTATCTATTTAAAAATTTGCAAATAGTTAAGAGGTTTAAAATTAATTTAACCTTTAGTTTATTCTCTGCGTGAAAATACAAATTTAGTTTTTTTTTTAATCTGAAATTTTGGTTATAGTATATTTTTCAATTTAAAATTTTTTGCCTTAGTCTCTTAAAGTAAAAGTTTGCATGCTAAGACTAATATGACCATTTTTTGTGTTAATTTGGTGGGTGTGTAAACTTTTTTGGTTTTAAAAGAGAAGCATACACATGAATTTAATTCTAAATGATTCTTTAATGATAAGTTTTAACAAGATTTTCATTAATAAATTCAAAGTCAAAGAGTGTATCTAGTGAAATTAAAGGAAAAAAAAATCATAATAAACTTTTCCCTATAAACCAATCAACCATAAATAAACTCAATTACATAATGGGGTACATGATTTATTTGTATCAATGGCAAATATGGTTGTTGCTTTCTACATCCGCATAATTTTTTCATCTCCCTTCATACCCCAAGTCAAATACCTAAAATACCTATCTCATAATTTTGTTTTTATCCTAAGTTTTTCTTTTTTTTATTTGTGTACAACTTCTGCACTTTCATCCCCAAGTACTTCCATCTCTTGGGTATTTGAACTTTTTGTGCTATCACTTCAATTGAAGGTCTTTTCTAACAATTAAAGATAAGTGATCATTAATATTATAGATGAATTACATGTTCTTGCACTCAAATTAATTGCTCAATCTAAAACAGTGTCACAAATATGAGGTTGAATTTCTTAACACTTAATCCAAAATGTATTTTTGGATTGACTTTTTTGAAAACGCATTTTGAAACATCCTTTCTAAAATACTGTTATGGAGGGTGGGATACATTTTTGGAAATCAATTCCAGAAAGATGAATTTAGAATGCATTTCCAGAAAATTGAACATTTTTTGGAATATATTTTCAGAAAATCAATTCCAAAAACACATTTCAAATAGTGTGTTCCGAAATATATTTTTAAAATTGATTTTCCAGATTTATATTATAGAATCCGAAAAATCAATTCTGGATTGTGTTTTTAAAAAATCAATTTTGGAAATATATTCTGGAAAATGCATTTTGGAATGTATTTCCAAAAAATTAATTTCAAAAATATATTCCACAACATTATTTTCAAACAAATATTTTCAATTTTCTCACTCCCTATAATAAAGATAAAATAGGATTTAATTTAATTACGGGTGGAAGAAACATAAGTCACAACATTGGTTGGACCCAATCCACTTTTTTTTTTTTTTTCTTGTAACTAGACCAAGCCACTGAGTCCAATAGATGTTGAAGAAGATGAAGGTGATGATTGAAAACAAAAAATAAAAAGAAATAAAAGGAGTGTAATTGTTTAAGATAAGTTTATGGATAAAAAGGCAAAAGATGTTATGATTCCTAAAGCCAGGAATTAGGGGATAAATGAAATCAGCATTGCCCACAGTTTGCTAAATTCATGATTACTTGTTTAATGTTGAATGCATGCATAGTCCAAACAAAGCGTGGAGAACCAGATTATGAGTTACAATCCTTCAACTACCACCAAAATGTTGGTAATCACAACACCACATATCAAACAAACGAACAAAAAAAATTATGAAATTGACCAAAAATAAAATATATGAAATGATAATAATAGGGATTTAAAAATAATTAAGAAAAATATGCAAAAGTAGTGATGGACGGTAATCATGTTGCCTTTTTTTGGGTGTTTAAAGTGACTCCAGCCTCCAAGATAGCCCCACAATGAAGATGCTAAGTTTTTTTAGAGATAATTTAATCATTAAAATAAATAAAATTCTAAATTTGCAATCATCAAATATATAGATATAGTAAAATCTAAAATCTTATTAATCACTAACTTTATATTTTATTTTCTAAAATATATCTATGCATAATTTAAGCTTCTAAATATTCTTTTGGCATCACCTTTGCATAACAATTAATGAAGTTTCGAAAAAGTTTCTTAGGGCAGAACTTTATCAACTTGTTACCGTGGATTTTTTATAACTTAGATGAACATAGATATGAAGAAAAAAAAAGGAGAGCAAAAACTAAATGCTCTTGTAATCTACAGACCTACATAGCCACAGATCTGTGCATGTTTGCTGGAAGAAATGATGAGAAAAAGTCATTTGGTGGACATACCCGGTCCCCTTGCTTTCATTTTGGAACTTTTCTTGTGTAGTGGACCACCAACTTTATTTTTTCTATTATAAACCATGTATTCTGGTTCTCTAATCTTCCATTTCTCATGAAGTTGAACATTTCTGAGGTATCACAATAGATAAACACTGAGAGGAGAGAAGGCAAGGCTGTGCTTGATTGAGGCCATATCCTTGATGGGTAATAGCAGGTTCAGATTGTCAGATATGATGCCAAATGCATGGTTCTATAAGCTCAAAGATATGAGCAAATCAAGGAAGAAAAATGGTCCTCATGTTATGAAGAACAGTGTTACCTCACCAACAACCTCCCAAAGATCACATCCAAGATACTCTCATTATTTCTCCATTGAACCAAACATATCTGGTAAGTTATACAACTCTCCTATTTACACTAAACACTCAGACAACATATTCTCTGATTCACCAAGAAGGTCCTCTAAAAGAAGAACTAAGAGAAAAACCATTTATAAGCCTTCTCCCACAGTTGTCTCTTCACCAGTCATAGAAAGTTTTAGTTGCCATTCCACAAATTGGATTAAGCCAACTCAACCTCAGTCTCCTGACTATTATCTCTCCTCCTCAGAGAGTTCTACGGAATCAAATCTCCATGAATATGTTTCATCCGAGTCTGAGTGTGACAAGTTCACTATTCCTGACCTGCTTAATGGGGTAGCCTCTGAATGCAGTTGTAGAGTTAGCTCTTCCACCAATGACATCATCATTGACATGAAAAATGAACCCTTCACCGGAAATTGTGAAAATTTTGATGGGTTCGACACAATTTCACAATTAGGCCTTCCTCCAATATTGACAAAGCCAGTGAAGTTTGATGATAAGGCCACTGAAGCGACTGAGATGAGAAGATCAACTAAATTTGATGAGGCAAAGTCTCATCAATCTGTAGCTGTTAAAGTTAGCAAAGAGGAAAGTAGTAGAACTAAGAGAGAGAGAAAAACCAGTCCAGTAGCTAGAATTTCCTCTGCTAATTCTACAGGTATAAAACTTAGAGTCAATTCTCCAAAACTCGCCAGCAAGAAAGTTCAAGCCTATGCCAGAAGGAGTGTGTCATCGAAAGCAGGCAAGGTCTCAGTGGATACAGGATTTCCAGAGGGATTTGCAGTTGTTAAGTCCTCACTTGATCCACAAAAAGACTTCAGGGAGTCAATGGTGGAGATGATAGTGGAGAACAACATCCGAGCATCAAAAGATTTGGAGAACTTGCTTGCCTGCTATCTTTCGCTGAATTCAAGGGAATACCATGATCTCATTGTCAAAGCATTTGAGCAAATTTGGTATGACATGGTTCTACTCAGAATGTAAAATTTTTTTAATTATCCAATGCATGTGTATAGTCTTGTAAGTAACACCTCTCTGGACCAACTTTTGTTCTGAACTCTCATATAGCTGTATCAATCTTTGCAAACTAAAAAGTGTTGTCGCGAAAAGGAATTTGAGGTCAAGAGTAAGCTATCTGCTCACTTATTTCAGAACTAGTTTATGGATGAATTGTGATTGATAACATCATAAAAGGTCCAGTTTATGATCCGTTTCTATCTATATGTCATGATGAGCAACAAACTGCTAACAAAAATAAATAAATATACTTTCTCAATGGCCCTCTCACTTCCTTGTGTGGTTTTTGCTGTTCTAGTTGTCTGTGTTAATCTACTGTGTCAAATGCCAATTAGATGTCCTTTGAAGATTTGATTGTGTCTATATTAAAGTGTTTTTAAATTACTTGTTGCAACCAAGCAGGCTCCACAATTGCAAAAGAAAAAAGGGTAAATGAGGTGGTTGGTGCAATTAGACCAAATTTAGTTCTGCAAAATAAATAATAGAATATGCTTTGATAAAAAAACATGACTAAGTGCTCCTTCAGCAATTAGAGAAATTAACAACCAAAGAAACAGATTTTTATTCTAACTACTATTTTCCTCAAATGTTTCTTCCAAGAACTTCCGTATGGTGTCATCCAATCAAATGACCAAATTTATTACCAGTGTTACCATAAGAACGCAATGCCAGAAAAAACATCTAACATAGACAGAAGAATGCAACACATATCAGCTTGCCTTTCGCTTTCAAGATACAATCTGACAAGTTGTAACAATTACTCCAATTAAGGAAGCAAGTAATCATGCAGATATGTAATGAATCAGGATAGTAGACACTAGAGAACTAATTTCCAGTAAAAAACATCACCACATTGTCAATATAATCGTTGGACAGTGTGAAGGGACTAGACTATTTTTCAATAATCGTTAGCTTTTCAGGTCTAATAGAAAGCATCTTGAATCATATTGCTCTCTTTTATAGTAACTTAATAATATTCCTCAAATTTGTGAAACTTTTAGTATTTTGCCAGCTAAAAAAACTCTGCCAGTGAGATTGGTAGTTTGGTATCAGTAGGCATGACTCTTTTCCTTGTCAACCTTTCAGTAGACTCAACATTTGCCACAAATATATATAACTAGTAACTAGTTAAAATTTTAACATCTTGGGGAAACTCAATTGGTCTCATTGATTAATTACAACCCTTTTTCCCTCTCCCCTTCCCTTCTGTTCTCTTTATTTTGTTGAAGCACCAATCTTAAGTATACTCGTTGATTGTTGGAATATTATGATAAACATGTGGGCATGAAGATAACATGTTGATGGCATTTTTTGTGGTGGGAAAGAATGAATGAAGATGAATCTGCAACATTTACATTCATAATAAATCTATTATTCATTCATCACAAATCGATGTATGTTAATACATACAAACATTTATTAGTTATTTTATATAAAACAAAAGCCATCTTTCAATAACTGAAATCGATTACAGTGAATCACCGAACCTTATTTGACTCTGATTAAAAAACTTTGGAAACAATATTACATATAAATTTTTACAATAGTTGAAATCACAGTGGTGAAACACTGTCTTATGGACCCTTAAAGTGTCCGTTTCCAACACCGACACTCCATTGATATCCATATGTCACATTGACACATGAAGGATGCTGTTCTTACACAGACACATGCCGACAGTTCCGATTTTTCTTCTTCTTGTAGAAGCTCTATTTTCTTGGGTTCTTGTTTATTAAGAAATTTTTTTTGTGAATATAATATTTTGGCGTAATATATAGTGTCATATTGACGTTTCCAATTATCCATGTATACATGTCAATGTTAATACTCCTGATTATCTTTCTATCTAGTAGAATTGATTTTTGATTTTTTTGATGTGATTAGATGTTTGCTTGAAACCTGTTATGAATCATAAAAAAACTGTTGTCTATATTATAACTGTGATTGTTAAGTAAAACTTTTTCAACTAGCTTCAATTGTTTCAATCATATTTTTTTTTGCAATATCAAGAATCACAGTGAGATCATAACCACAATTTACAACCATAATCATCTTATCAATTACACTTTGCATTAGTTTGAAATTAGTACCCTTTCTTAGATGCCCCGAAGTTCATTGTACTAATAAGCATTGTCATCAAAATCAGTGCCATGGAGAGCAGTGGAACACGTAAAAACTGTAAAATGCAAATGGCCAGTGTTGAAGTAAATAAAGGAAAAAGGAACAAAAGTTAATGCAGCACATCATGAGGACCACAAAATCATCACAACAGGCTGGTAGTAGAAATAATCAAAGGTATGGGAGGACCACATATATTAGAGTGAGCAAAAAAGTCCACTTAGCCAACTAGACATTATGTTCTGGTGAAAAACCTCCCATAATTGCTCTTTTCATCACTCTCTTTAATTTACTTTTCTCTGCTAAAAGTAGATCAGTCTCTTTACACACACCCTAATGTCTCAGGTCATGTTTCTTTCAAAAATCCAGTAGAGACAGAAAGTTTGGATTTTTACATGTCCTCGATATTTAGTCTTGTGGGACAAGTTCATGACTAGTCAACATAGAAAAAATTGCATCCAACCCCAACCTCAAAGACAAAAAATTTGTTCACTTCCAAGCCTACTCCAACATGTTTGAGCATTATAATTCCACATAGAACCCAAATTATTAAACTTCATGAACAAGGGATTTATGTGTGTCATAATTTTAGTTTAAAATGAACATCACAATTATAGCCTAAATAGTATGTTGTTGCATGTAGCAAATGAGTCCCTCCACCCCTTTCATGATAAGGACTCAATAGTATAAATGGGGTCCATTACTATATATCTCATTTTACTATTAGTGAATTCTTGGAGTAGACCAAAAGGGTCAAACTTGCATGGTATTTCTTGGATTGAATATTAAGTAATTGGCATAATGTTCAGGTGCACCATGAGTTATTGTTCTGATGGTTAACCAGATTTAGCAATTATATCATATCCAAATTCAAGAAGTCACTTTGAAAAAAGCCCAATCCTTGCTTGCCTCACTCTCAGAATGGTCCTTCTTCTACTTAACCAAATATATTCTACATTTCTGTTTCTGCATTGACTGTATGGGCTAAGGGCTAGCCCATATTGAGTCATCAATGAAAATGATATATAATATATATATATATATATATTTTAGATAGATGAAAAATAAATTAATCAACTATTTTGTTCAATAATTAATTAATTTGTTTATCATAAAATTATGAAATCCTAAATATGTATTTAATTGAATAACATAAATTACTAATTGATTGTGAATATGATTAATAGATTATCTTTTGAGTTATCATTTAAATACGTAAAATTTAAAGTTAACTTTTAAGTTACTGATATCTAAAGAATATTTACATTTCTTTGAGCCGTAACACCCTAGTAATACACTTATTTTGGTATATTTTTTACCAGCCTTGTAAATGGATTTTTTCTTCAAATAATATCATTATGCCTTGAAAGTTTAAAATTCCATAGCAGCGCAGCCATATCATCTGCTCTTGTCCATGACACATAATTTATCCATTTTTTCCCATTTGATTTCAATGCTCAAGAGACAACCATTTTTAAATTTTGTTGTCTCTCAAGTTTTTTCCCTTGCTACTTCTGGAAGAATTCACATCAAAAGCACCACATGTTGGATTTGACTTTTTGTTGGTAACCTCATAAGGTGTCACAAATCCAATATTTTCCACAGCTCCAATTGTCTTGAATCTTCTTTTGTTTACCTCCTCAACCAGTGATCTGTGCAGTAGCTGACTTCTCATATCAATTAATGACTTGTTCCTTGTTAGTATACGATTGTCTATCATCCTCTTACTTTTGCTAGTAGAAGGTACGTGTGGTCCTGCTAGAATATTGCAATGGTTCAAAGTGATGGGGTCTTCATTAGGGGCAAATTTTGTACACATGTGACTCTTTATGATGGGGTGTTTATCTTTTCTTGTATAAGCCTTATTGTGCTCCTCCTGGTCATCGACTGAACAAAAGTTTGAGTTGGAATATGTCCCATGTGAAGAGATTGAACTGGCATCATCAAGTACATCACCTGCGAATAGCAGTACATCAGGCTTACTACAGAAACTAGAATTAGTCAAAAACAATAAGTTGCTTTTCACTATGTGATTGTTCTAATAACTATAATAGATTTTCATGAGGACTTCCTTACTAATTCATGCCAACCATAAAACCAAAATAAGATGTCAAGGTTCCCTTTTCAATTATTTGAAAGATTTCATAATTCCAGACGTACAATCTTGCATTTGTTCCTTCCAAAAGCAAAGTAACTAACAAGTCATTACTACTTAAGCCCTCGAGGATGGTAATCTTAGAAAATTTGAGTGAATAACTGAAAATAACAAAATCTTGTTTTCATTGTTTCTTGCATGAATCTTGCGAAAACTGTAAATTAAGCTCATTCATTTATCAATAGTCAAGATTGAATCATATGAATGAGTTTGACATTAAATTCAACTAAAAACCTAAAAATATTAGATTTGTTAGTCCTTTTCAGTTATATGTTGCTCAAATTACTTGTTGATATTCAAACTTCCTACTCACACTTGCACACTTTCTAAGTAGCAATTACTGTAGGGGGAGGGACAAAGGAGACATACCATGGAGCCAAAAGTCATCACCTCTGCTGACTGAGCCTGGTATTGATTCTTGGGATGATGAACAAGAAGAGACAGAGTGGAAATGATGGTAAGGATCTTCATCGTCCTTGTCATCATTATAACTGAATGTGTGGCAGGTGTCCGGACAGTTACTATTCTTCCAATTGGGCAGCAATACAGATATCTCTCCTTCAATCATACTTGCAATGTCAGAAGGGTTCGAATCTGTGATTTCCAACTCTTTCACCATTTCCATTGCAACATCAATAGCGGTGTCTGTGTAAATGTCAAAGGGAAAGTATACATTCCTACAAGAACCTGTAAAGACAGTATAAAAGTTTTACTATTTCTTACTTCAATTTAAGGATCAAGTTCATTTACCAAGCAAAAGTATTTAAACAACTTCAAAATAAAGTTTTCCGTATAATGAATGAAAGACGACATCAAGAGTCGAGCAAATATTGATACCATCCTTCTCAGAAATTTGCACTTTGAGAAAGATAGTGTCATCTTCTGGATTCAGCTTCCCAGTTATCGACATTTTAGTCCTAAGTAAATCATCACTCAATTGAAGTTTTTCCATTTCGCTGTAGTTTAAAAACGGCTTTTGAATTCCAATCTTTGCCATGGATGATGCGTCATCAGACAAAAGAAAGGGATCATGCAACAATTCTTTTGCTGACGGTCTCTTTGCTGCAGCTATTAGACATTTGCCAATAAACTTTTGTGCTTCTGTGTCTTCAATCCTGAAAAATGCTGCTGGTAGCTTCCCCTGAACACAAGACAGAAAAGTTGCTTATATATATATAAAATCCTATTTATATATATTTTCAAACCTTAAACCACGATCAGATCTTACCGATGACACTTTTTTGTAAATCTGGGCAGGGTTAGTACATTCACTGTATGGATAATCAGATGTGAGCATTTCCAAAACACACATGCCAAATGAGTACACATCAACAAGTTCATTGTATTCTTCCTCATACAATTCTGGTGCCATGAACTCGGGGGTGCCTAGCACAATGGAAAATATTTAACGCAACAATTGAAGAGGTTCAATAGTCAATATTTTCAACATTTATTGACAGATAAAAGATAAATACCTATAACACTGTGAGCTGGTCGCGAACCATGGAGAATTGCTGCTAGACCCAGGTCACCAATTTTCACTTGTCCAAGATGGCCATTGACAAATATGTTATCACATTTCAGGTCCCTATGAATTACAGGAGGATCATGTTCATGCAGATAAACAAGACCCCGTAAGATTTGGCGAGCCCAACTCTTTATTGCTTGTAGACCTATGAGCTTATATTTCTTCCTGTATCTGCACAAGTCACATACTTATAATTAAAGTACTTTTTATAGTGATTTAAAGGTTAATTTGTAATCATGCATGAATATACATCAAGTAATTTAACAATACCAAATGTGCAGGTCATGAAACTACATATCCTATCTTATGGAATGTAACATATAATAACATTCCATCCATGTACACATTAACATCGAATGAATCTGAACTCAATCATACTAAAATGTCAAGATTAAATGAAAGGAGGCATGTGATTTATAGTCAGAAAGAAAGTTACTCTCTCAGTGTCCCTGAAGTAAACATTTCTGTAATGAAGTTGAAGGTCTTGTTGTTGACATCAATCCAAGAGGTGTAGAATCTCATGATGGATTGGTGCTTGAGGGTGCCGAGGAGATGAACCTCTAAATAGAGCCGCTCCAAGTCCTCTGGTTTGTGCAATGCCTCGTTGAGTTGGACCTGATTCCATGCAACCTCTATTCCAAGGACCTCATCAATTGCTTTATACACTGTCTTCATTGCTCCTTTTCCTAGAATATCTCCAACCTAATCGTATAAAACACACACCTTTTCTGTATGATAGCATCCTAATTGCCTATATATTTGAAGTAAATAATTAACAGAAATTCTATACACAGCTCCTTGAAAAGTTCTGAAATAGAAAATTAGAAATTGTTTACACTAGGGAGAAAAGGAATTATTGTTGACATGATTACCTCAGCCAACGCCACATAGTTTTAGAGCATTTCGTCCATGACATCACTGTTTTTAAATCTTGCAAATATGAAAAGAAAATTGAAATGCTTCCTTTTATAGTAATTAAAATTTCAGTCCAACATAGTCCCATTTCTCCATGCTTTTTGGTAATTCAATATCTCCTATATCATTACATATGCAATAGTTTTTCACAATTATGATAAATTCAAATGATATTAAAGAAGAGTGAGTGATGAATAAAATATGTTCAGAAGATATAGCATGCCATAAGACTATCCCTTTTCTACTGATGGTTTAGTTTAGATTCGTTTTCAATCATTAATTTTGTTTGCCTCAAGTAAAGGATTAGTGCAAAACAAGCCTAGTAATTAAGCCGAGAATATTTTCTGGAGAAATCAAATTTATCAGGATAAGACTGCTTTCACTGGCACACTTTCAATCACAATCATGTGTCCATTGAATTGACACAAAATTCCTTTTCTTGTACCTTCATACCACACATACAAATATGATGTAAGGTTGTTCAACCGCTGAAGTCTTCAGAATAGTAGCACATTACTAAGCATGAATCCTATCAATCATACTGTAAATGGTAAAAGCATTCAATATATATTTCCTTTTCTTTCAAACTTCATTTCCAACCATTCCCCATTATCAAAAAGATTGCCCCAAAGTAATAAAAGTTCAACTCCAGAGGATTCTGCTTTGAAAATTGAAACATGAAACATACCCCAACTTGAGCAGACACAAGAGCCCAAAAGTAGACAAAATATAAGCCATAAGAAATAAGAAGTCTGACAAATTTATATGTAAGACCTTAGACGCTTTTGATACTATTTTCTTATCAGAATTTGAGTTTTGTCTTTATAACTGATGTGGATTTTTAATGCAAAATTATTTTATGCAGATAGGTGAAACTTAAATTGTAATTAGAAAATAATAACCGAAGCATCTAAGTTTTTTTCCTAAGATGTCTAATCATTAGGCATTTGATTACCCACGTGATTTTTGAATCAGTTCTTTCTTCCAACTAGCCATGATTTCACTAAAACTTAGTAACACAGTATCACACAGCTCAGCCAGCTGACTAGACCCTCAAAGAAATGTTAAGAAGTTGTTTCCAATTTTATACACACACAAAACTGCCTTTTATCATTAAAGTAGCAACAGATTAATCCAATTTCAAACAGAATTAAAATATCCACAAGAAATTTGAAAATGAAAAGGCACAAGAATATATGATTCAGAACTTACCCGAGCATATCTACCATTTGGGTCGGTTTCCACGTAACGAAGCTTAGCTTTGCGATCCTCTTTACAACCCTTATTGGAATACATGTTGAATTCTTAACTATACACTCCAACTGACTAACTAAACTAGCAATCACCTAAACTTCAAAAGCTATAGACTGCACAACAACTTCGGTGCAGAGAAGCTTGAAAAGCAAAGAACAAAAACAAACAAAACAGCGATGTATGCTATTATTCTCCAAGGTTGTGGAATCCTAAATCCGAGGCTTCCCCTCGTGGTAAACGTGGGAGAAGATCCCAAAAAACAGCCAGAAAAGCCTTGAGTGATCAACACACTGCATTATTCTACCCATTTTCACACCAACCGCGCATGTCAAGGGATCATAGTCCTTAGCAACCATTTGATTAAGTTTTGCTTGTTCTTTTTGAAAACAAAATGTCCAGAGAAAGGGAGAGAGAGGGAGTGGAGCTGCAAGATTTGTCTAGATAAGACTGGTGAGTAGAAGGGAATAAACGGATAATATTTTTCGTATGAAATTGACATGTTCCTGTCACTGCCCTTCGTGTGTCAAGAATTTTGAAGGAACATACGGTACGTGCGGCTTTCGGTAAGGGTCAGTTTAGGCCATTCACAAGTGGAAGTGGTTATGAGAAACAGTGCACGGAACTTGAAGAATCTATGGCAACACTGTGGTGTAACCATTAGTGGACAACAGTGAAAAACAAAGCAAAGAGAAAAAACCCAGAAAGGGAAGCTGAAGAAGAAACTACATTTAGAATAGAGTGAAACTAGAACGAACGTGTGTGTGTGTGTGTGTGTGTGTGCCTGTGCGGGTGGGTGGATATGTATATCAGGTGGTGGTGGTGTTGATAGTGTGGGGCCGTGGGTTTCACATTTCGAGCTGAGGTGGCAACGTTTCAGGCTGTGTGATTGTGTCATGCATTCTGGGATTTCAAGGATGACGAGGTTGACTTTTTTTCCGTTGTCTTTTCTCATCCTGTGGCTGGTTGTGATGTTTTGTGTTACTGTTTTCCATTTTATCTTCTTTTGGTGTGGATAATCTTTTATACACGAAAACCTTTGATATTTTTCTATGCTTATCCTCATCATGGACCCTTATTTACCTTGTGTCTCGAAATTCGGTTTTGAGATGCATAGGTCATATTTGGTGTTGTTTGCAGCCAAGACAGAGTTTTTCATATAATGGAACATAATCAATGACAAAGAAAAAGAAAATAACAGATATTAAATATAATGAGAATAGTTAGGTTTCATCATTTTGAGAATCTATTGCTTCCTATGCATGATGGACTTGTTGTATTCTTTTTACATAAATCAAACCACAATCTAAGGCTGGTAAGACCCAGCCAGTTGTTTTCTAAGTCACAAGATGATAATCATTAATGAATAGTTATGTACAAAAAAATAAAAACAAAAATAAGAGATAAGAAAAAAAAGTTCATTGTAAAACCAGAATGTGATAAAAATTTCCTTTGAAATGAAGTGAACAAATTTTAAGCAAACTAAAAATAAAACAAATCACTCTAATCTAATTAAAGTCGTTGTATAAAATCGAGTTAGATATTTTTTTATTTTAAAAACAATATAAAAAATTTAATAAAAAATTATTTTGATTATTTTATGAATGGTCAAATGATAGAGTGCTCTATCTTTTTCAGCACTGACACACATCTTCATCTTATATAGCTCTTTAAATTTCTACAAAATTGATTTTATTTATTTATATCTATAAACTAGTTGGTGCATTATTTGAGTTAGACAAATATTTTCCTTATAAGGGTTTAATAATTTTGTCGCTCAAAGATAATTGTGTTGACAGTTATTTTTAAGTTCAATTTGTTTTTATCGTAGAAGAGTTTATATCTATAATGCGACTAAAGTAGGGTATATCGGATTTTTCTCTCGAGGGGATATTCCCTCTCTCGTGACAATGATTAAATAAGAAATATATTAAAAATTTGAAAATATGAAGTGAAATTCTATAGATTTTTAATTTTTAGAAAAAAAATTTAGATTATTCAAATAATTTAACTTGATTTATATTTTTAAATGGGATATCATTTTTTGTTTTTAATCTAATTTATATTAGATTAATAGATTAACAGATAAATTTTGATTTGATTGAAAATTAAAAATATTATTAATTATCATATAAAAATAATTAACTACAAATATTTTTAAAATTTTTAAATTATATTAATAAAATTAATTTTTAAATTATAAAATAATAGATTTATTTAATCTAAAATAAGATTTATAAAATTATTTTTTATTATTTTAATTTAATTTATTTAATGATTTATTTATCTAAACTAATGATTCTTTTTAATTATTATATTATGGAATAAGTGAATATAAGACACTTTCTTCTATATTTATCATTATAATAAATAATTTTTTTATTAAATTAATCTATAATATATATATATATATATATATATATATATATATTAACAAAATAATATTTGTTTTACTTTTATTTAAAAAATTATTATTATTTTATAAAACAAACTCATATATAAATTAACAAATTAATTTAACCTAAATTCATATAAATTATGATTTAACAAGATACAAATAAAATAGACTTGATTGAATTTATATCATAAATTTTTAATATAATTTAATCTATTTTTTTTAGACTTTCGTATCAATTAATCAAATTAAATTTATTTTTATACCCCTAATTTATACTGTTATCTGAGTTGATTTGATGAAATTTCCTGATACAGGTGCATGATTTTTAAAATAAAGTCATTATAACGTTGCATGATTCAAAATAGCGTGATTTTTTTATTTTATTTCGATGTTTATAAGTAAAATTTATTTCCATTTTTAGGTAAAAATAAACACGTGTTAAGTTATTTTATTCAAGTGTAGGTTAGACTTAATTATACATTTTACTACTATTTTTTTTTGGCACATGTTATTGCCATATTTTTCAATTTTACACATATCTGAATTAGTTATAGTGTGTGCTTGAAGTGCACTCACTGAACAGTGCCTAATTGATTATTGAAACACTAGTGACTAGGCCACACATTCTTGATGCATGGGTTGATACAATGATCATTAATCTCTTAGAAAATTATTTCATTCAAAGAATCAAATACTAATCTTATTTTATTATAGACAATCCTCTTAACAATAAAAAGAAATCAATAAGCAAAAATTGAAAGAAATTAAATTTTTTAAATACACAGACAAAATATAAGAATAGTTTTTATTAATTAAATTAATTCATAAAAAAACGTACAATGATTAGGTGAAATAAAGACTCAATAAAGTAAAAATTGTTAGAGAAAATGAATTGTTAGTGAAACCATCTAAACTATATTTTATTATTTTTTATTTTATGATTCATCCAACTAATCTATTTTATAATCTCTAAATTTGCTTGAAGTACAAGTCACAGATTCATATTAACGATGGTTTTCAAAATTGTTTTGTACTAAGCTAGCTTCCAACGATGACGAACTATTTGGATAAATACGCAAATATAGCATTTGCAGCCCAATTTGAACGTGGGCTGGCCTTCTAGCCCAATTTTTTAAGGCTATTTCTTTTTACTGCCCCATAATTTCTGCATCTAACTTTATAATTAAATTAAATCTCATTTTATTTTTACACTTTTCTTCATCTTCTATCAGTGTTTAATTCTAATTTTGTTTAATGACTAATTTTTAATTCTTATTATAATATTCTCATTCTTTCATCTCTTATTATTCAAAAAATGACAAGAAACAAGTAAGAATGACCAATTTTTTTTTTTATTCTATATCAAATTTTTACATGTATAGTATTTATGTAATAAATTTTTTGGTTGGAAACACGTTACAGGGAGTGAGAAAACTGGACAATTTTTTCAAAAAATATGTTCTAGAATGTATTTTTTGGAATATATTTCTGAAATTGAGTTTTTGAAAATATATTTTAGAAAAAATGTGATGTCGAAATACATTCCAGATTAAGTGTTTTGGAATGTGTTCCCACCAGACAAATTTAAAATTGAATTCTAAATTGAATGTTTCGGAGAGACAAATCCAAACATGAATTATGGAACACACTTTTCAAACTACATCTATGGGTTGACATTTCCGAAAACTGATAAAAATATTTCCAGACATTAATGTGCATCGCTGTCATGCCAAGCTAAATATGGAAAAAAATAATCATGTAGAATCATGGCATGATACGGTATTTGTAATCGTATATTCTATGTTTATCACCCTCCCTCAAGATGGAGTATGAAGGTTATGAATGCCCAACTTGCCTAAAAAAGAACCAAATTTAGTGGCGCCAAGAGATTTGGTGAAGAGATCGACCAGTTGATGATGAGTGGACACATAGGAGGGTTGGATATGATTGTGTTGTATTTCATCACGAATAAGATGACAATCCACTTCAATATGTTTTGTCCGTTCATGAAACACAGGATTCTTGGCAATGTGAAGGGCGACTTGGTTGTCACGATAGAGAGTCATAGGGTCGGTGTGAGTAATGCCTAGGCTCGAAAGAAGGCCTTGAAGCCATTTCAACTCATATGTCGTGTTGGCCATAGAACGATATTCCGCCTCGGCGGATGATCAAGAAACCAGTATGTTGCTTCTTGGTTTTCCAGGAAACGGGGATTGACCAAGGAAAATAAACCAACCTAGGTGAGAGATCTTCGAGTGAGAGGACAACTTGCCCGATCCGAGTCACACCAACCATAAAGACGAAGGTCACTCTCTCTTTTAAAAGCACACCTCGACCCGGCTGCCCTTTAAATAGTGTACCACGCGGAGTGCAGCCTCGCCAATGCTCCTGACGCGGTTGGTGCATGAATTGAGATAGGACATGAACACTCGTAAGATAATTCAGGTCGTGTAAAACACAAGTAAATAAGGCGACCGACGAGACGTCGATATTGACTCGAGTCGGAAAGTAGTTCGCCATCGCCAATGCTAAACGATGATTTTCTTCGATTGGCGTGGACACGAGTTTCCTCCAAGCAATCTCGCTTCAGCTATGATGTCCAACGCATACTTCCGTTGACACAAGAAAATTCCTGTAGGAGATCCGGCAACCTCCACCCCAAGAAAGTATTTTAATTTCCCTAAGTCCTTCATACGAAAACATTGATGAAGATAATCTTTGAATTGCGCAATGTCTTCATGATGATTGCCGGCAATGACTAGGTCATCCACGTAAACTAACACAACCAGTTCGACATCTCCTTTGCGAAAGATGAACAAGGAGTGATCGGACGAAGAACTTTGAAACCCATATTGAACAAGAGCAGGTTGAGAGCTTGGCAAACCAACACCGAGGAGCTTGACGAAGACCATAAAGGGACTTGCGGAGACGACACACCATACCCTTTTGAGACACCAAGAACCCCGGCGGCATTTTCATGTACACATCTTCCTCAAGATCGCCGTGCAGAAAAGCATTATGGACATCCATTTGATGGAGTTCCCAGCCTTTGGCTACCGCCACTTGCCAACACCTGTCCGAATGGTGACCATCTTTGCCATCGGGCAAAGGTCTCGTCATAGTCAATCCCTCAACTTGGTGATTTCCCAAGACAACTAATCGGGCTTTGAAGCGTTCAACGCTCCCATCGGAATGATATTTGATTTTATAAATCCACTTGCAACCCGGAGGCTTCTTCCCCGTCGGTAGAGGAGTAATGTCCC